ATTACTCCAGAAGTCTGTGTCATATTATACCATAAATCATTGTTTGTGCATAATACTCAGTGCTCCTAGCCTTAGATTTCTAAATGTGTCTTTGAGAAACTGCTCACAATATATGTTATAATATACAATATGATCTTAATTTTGTAAAAGAAAGGGGAAAGTGTATATGTGCAGGGAAGGGAGTATATACTATAAGGAAACAAAATTTGTGGGTATCGTCCAGTGATTGCCTTATGGATGACTCTTCCATATCTTTTTCTGTTTTTAAAAATTTCCTATAATGACTCTAAGTCAGGGGAAAAAAAATCACTACAAAAACCTGAATATTTCAATTTATTAATTCACTCAACCAAGAAATAACCTGTCAGAAGTTCATTTTCAGATGACCAATCTTTTTAAACTACTTGACTCTTCTAACATACACGTATTAACCTGTTCAGAAAAATATTAATTTTTAAAGTTTTAAAGCTTCATTATATACCAAAAGCCACCTGAATGTATTAACATACAACTCTACCTCCAGAGATTCTGATTTAGTATGTCTGGGGTAGAGATCAAGGAATTTTTCATTTCTAATATGTATCCAAGTAATTTTGATGCACATGGTTTCTGGATCATACTTAGAGAAACAAGTTCAAAATACTAGTGATCAAATCCTCATAGGATATCACATTATCTAACCTTTGAATATGACAAATATATTTTGTCTATTTCAAATCACTATTTTTAAATATGAAATGCAATAAAACATAAACATTCTTCAAAGGAAACTGGTTAATATTTCATATGACAACATGGTAAATAAACATTTTTGACTGAGCTAGTTAGGTTAGGTCCAATTTTGAAGTTCCCGAAGAGTACACAGCAGAGAATCACAGCCACTGTTGTAGTACCATTAGCTGAGAAAAATGAGTTGCCATTTATTCAGTGGATAGAGGATAAAATTTGTCTAACAGATAGACTCTTGACTTGTAATAAGTACAAAATGGATATTACTCAGCCATAAGAATGAAATCTTTGCAATGACATATACGGAACTAGAGAGTATAATGCTAAGCAAAATAAGACAGTCAGAGAAAGACAAATACCATATGACTTCACTCATATGTGGAATTTAAGAAACAAAACAAATGAACATAAGGGGAGAAAAAAGAAGCAAACCAAGAAACAGACTCTTAACTACAGAGAACAAACCAATGGTTGCTGAAAGGGAGGTGGGTGGAGGACGGTTAGACAGGTGATGGGTATTGAAGAAGGCAGCTGTGGTGAGCACCAGGTGTTGTGTGTAGGCGATGAATCACTAAATTCTATATCTGAAACTAATGCACTGTGTGCTAACTGGAATTTAAGTAAAGACTTGAAAAAGAAAAAAAAAGTACCAAAACTATATGATGAATTATATATTAGAATTACAATTATCAGAATTATATATATTTATCATTACATATATAAGACAAGATATATAGTCATATATCAGAATTTTATATATATATTTATCTTACGATACAGCTTGGCACTTTTATATATCATGGTTATCATGAGATATATATATATAAATATATATCAAATACACATATATATACATACATACACACACACACACACACACATATATATATATAATCTTGAATTAGGCCAAATTAACATACCTAGTTCAAGAAGCTTCTTTGTGAGCAAAAGTGCCTTATCCAGGTCTCCCTGCTGGTATACCGCATAGCTCAAATAATCTAAAACAGAGACTTTATCAATGGTAGAAACCTCGCCTTCATCCAGCTGCCTTAGTGCTTGTTCCATCCACAGTTCTGTATGATAATAATCGGCTTCTGTATAGGCCACTTTGCCCAACTCAAAACAGTCTTCAACTGTTAGAAAAGATTTGTGTTTTACTCCTATGGAAAGAAAATAAAGAGAACTTTAGAAATATTTATTTAGGACTATACAGCTTTCAAAGTGCTATCTCACTTTCATTTGAACTTTATAACAGCCTTCTGAACAAGAATCATCCTAAATTTATGAACAAAGGAACAATCTACAAGGTAATGAAACATGGTAAGAATCATACTAATAGGGGTCGTGGAGCTAGAAAACCCAAGACTTCAATTATCAGTCAACATACCAAAATGAAACATCAATTAAGTTGAAGCATGCAATTTTCTAGCACAGCAGGAATCACCATAGGAGACATATTTTACTCCTCACCAATAATCTGGGCAAAAAATGAATGGACAGGAAGAAAGGCGGACCTGTAAATTGATTCCTTCCCTTTCCCCTTCCCTCCAAAAGCATTAATAATATGTAATTTACATACCATAAAGTTCACCCATTTAAAGAATACAATAGTTTACATTATATTCAGAGTTGTGCAACCAACATCGCAATCTAATCTTAGAACATTTTCATCACCCCAAAAAGAAACCCTGTAGCCATTAGCAGTCACTACGCATTATCTCCCCCTCTCTGCCCCAGCCTTAGACAACCGCTCATTGCCTATTCTGGTTATTTCATATAAGGGGAATCATGTAAAATAGGGTCTTTTGTGACTGCTTCTTTCAACTCAGTATAATGTTTTCAAGGTTCATTCATGTTGTAGCATCTTTTTTATTGCCAAATAACAGTCCACTGTATGGAGAGACTATATTTTATTTATCAGTTGGTGGGACATTTGAGTTACTTCTAATTTTTTGGCTTTTATGAATAATGCTACTATGTACATTCATGTACAAGTTTCTGAGTGGACATTTGTTTACATTACTCATAGGTAGTAGTGGAATTGCTGGGTCCCATGGCAACTCTATGCTTAAATATTTGCAGGAATTGCCAAACTGTTCTCCAAGGTACCCACATCATTTTACAATCCCACCAGCAATGTATGAAGGTTCTAATTTCTCCACATCCTCACTAATACTTGTTGTCCATTTGTTTTTATTATAGCCATTCTACTGGGTAGAAAGTAGTATTCATGATGATGAGCATCTTTTCACGTGCTTATTGTCCATTTATGTATCATCTTTGGGGAAATGTCTTCTCAAATCCTTTGCCCATTTAAAAATTTGATTCTTTTTATTAGAGTTGTTTACATATTCTGGATACAAGTCTCTGATCAGAAATATGATTTTCACCTATTCTCTCCCACTGTATGGGTTGTTTTTTCACTTTCTTGACGGTGTACTTTAAAGTACAGAAGCTTTAATTTTGGTGAAGTCTAACTTAATTAATCCTTAGTCAGGCTTTTGGTGTTGCTATGTCAACTGGTTTGTGAAGTAAAACTTCTGTCTTAAGAAAAGGAGACAAGGGCGCCTGGCCGGCTCAGTCAGTAGAGCATGCAACTATTGATCTCAGGGTCAGGAATTCAAGCCCCACGTTGGGTGTGGAGCCTACTTTAAAAAAAAAAAAAAAAAAAACTAGTTAAAAAAGGATATTTGACAGTTCACATGAAATAAAAAAAAATGAAAGAGTGGAAAAATAGTCTAATCATTAAACAAATATGAAATTAAAACAACCCTGAAGAAAAATATTTTTAAACAACAGCCTACATTTATTGAGGCCTTACTATGTGCCAGGCATTTGTCACTCATTTAATTCTCAAAGCAATCCAGATGAGGAGTTAAGGTAGAGAGAGGTTAACTACTGTGCTAAAGGTCACATAGCAAAGAGTCAGAATTGGAACCTGCACAGTATTACTCCAGAAGTCTGTGTCATATTATACCATAAAATGGCAAAATTTAATAGGGGAGGGAGTCATAAACTGGTAACTTTACACTTAAGACATCTAGTGATATAAAACTAGAGTAATAATTTTATGCCTATGAACTGATACTATTTTTCAATTATCTTCTTGAGTTTAGCACTAGGGGTTGGGGAAGAAACACCTTGTTTAAACAAGTTTTGTAGCTGAACCAAATATTATAGCTAAAAACTGTAATAAACTAAAAGTAAGGAAATGTATAGGACAACATGTCAATATAATGGAACAACATTTTACATTAAGAAAGATAATTTTTTAAGATTTTTATTTATTTGAGAGAGAGAACACGAGCAGAGGGGAGGGGCAGAGGGAGAGGGAGAAGCAGAGTCCCCACTGAGAAGGGAGCCCAACGACAACACGGGCTCAATCCCAGGACCCTGAGATTACGACCTGAGCCAAAGGCAGACGCTTAACCGACTAAGCCACCCAGGTGCCCAAGAAAGATTATTTCAAATGCCATATAGGAAAGCCAGAAAGATCTAGACAGAAATATGTCAAAATGTTAAATTGAGGGCACCTGAGAAACACACCCATGGGCACGTATTGAGTGGAGCACTGGGTGTTATACACAAACAGTGAAATCATGGAACACTACATCAAAAACTAATGATGTAATGTATGGTGACTAATATAATAAAATTAAATTAAAAAAAAGAGATTTAGAAACCAAAACAATATAAAATTTTGAATAGGAGAAAGATAGGATAGGAATTAAAAACTAAGCCTGTGATAAATTTGCTTTCAGTGAAAAAGACACAGACTAAGAAAGGGGAGGGCCAAAGAACAGGGAAAAAAGGAGGCAGGGGAGAGATTTTTCCAACTTTTGACATCAATAGTCGAACAGTAACTGTTCCACTCGTGGTGGTTTAACGTGAATGTCAAAATATCTTGTCTCCTACCCCAACTTCTCTGACCTAAATAAATGGAGAGATATAACATGTTCATGGATTAGAAAAAGTCTATATTGTTAAAATGACAATGCTGCCCTAATTCTTTGCAAGATTCAACCCAACCCCAATCAAAATTCCTACAGGCATTTTGTTTTTTTTTGGAAACTGACAAGCTGATTCTGAGATTTATATGGAAATATAGACTAACCAAAGCAATTTTACCAAAGAACATAGCTGGAGGACTTATTCTGCCTGATTTCAATACTTACTATAGCGCTATAGTTCAGGGGCCCCTGGGTGGCTCAGTGGTTGAGTGTCTGCCTTTAGCTCAGGTTATGATACCAGGGTCCTGGTACTGGGCCCTGCATTGGGCTCCCTGTTCAGCAGAAAGTCTACTTCTGCCTCTCTCCCTCTGCCCCTCCCCCCACTTGGGCTTGCTCTCTCTCAAATAAATATTTTTTTTTTAAAAAGCTGTAGTTCAGACTGCTTGATATTATTTACAGGTAGACATATAAATCAATGGAACAGAATTGAGTCAAGAAATAGACCAAGTGATTTTTGACAGATGTCAAGGCAATTCAATGGAGAAAGGAAAGTCTTTTAAATGTTGTTCAACAAATTAAGAATTAATATTAAAAGAAAATAAACATCAATCTTTACTGCCTACCACATACAAAGTCAACTCAAAATGTATCCTATATCTTATTGTGAAATCTCAAACTATCAAACTTCTAGATAAAAAAAACACAAGAAAAATATTTTAGACCTGAGGGGAGACAAAGATTTCTTATATTTGACACCAACAACACTATCAATAAGTGAAAAAAATATTGGGGTGCCTGAGTGGCTCAGTCAGTTAAGTGTCTGACTTTTGATTTTGGCTTAGGTCATGATCTCAGGGTTGTGAGATCAAGCCCCATGTTGGGCTCTGCACTGAATGTGAAGCCTGCTTAAGATTCTCTCTCTCCCTCTCCTTCTGCCCCTCCCCCACCTCTCTCTAAAAAATATTGATAATTAAACTTTATCAAAGTTTAAAACTTCTGCTCTCTGAAAGGCACTAATATGAAAATAAAAAGACAAGAGACTGGTTAAAAATATTCACAACACATTTATCTGATAAAGAACTTATATCCAAAATATACAGAGAACTCTTAGACTCTTCACTAAAGAATCGATATGGCTAGCCAATAAACACAGGGAAAGATGTTCAACATCATTAGTCATCAGTTGTAACATATATATAACAATGTAATTAAACAATGAGATACCACCATGTATCCATTACACTGGCTAAGATTAAAAAGATTGAATAGGGCGCCTGGGTGGCTCAGTTGATTAAGCGACTGCCTTCGGCTCAGGTCATGATCCTGGAGTCCCAGGATCGAGTCCCACATCGGGCTCCCTGCTCAGCAGGGAGTCTGCTTCTCCCTCAGACCCTCCCCCATCTCATGCTCTCTCTCTCTCTCATTCTCACTCTCAAATAAATAAAATCTTTAAAAAAAAATAAAATAAAAAAATAAAAAGATTGAATATACCAAGTGTTTAAAGAATGTAGAAGAAATCATACTGATGAAAGGAATGTAAAATGGTACAATTAGGCAGTTTCTTAAAAGCTAAATATATGCCTACCATACAACCCAGCCATTTCACTCCTAGATAAAGAAACAAAAACAATAATAATAAAAAGAGGACAATCCCTTAAAACTGGAGAAAAAATACTGGAATAAATAAACCCAACTATACAACATTGAGGACTTAAGCACCCCAAAGAAATGAATTACTTCAGGTGTTTTCCAAACAATATTTTAACCAATCATATCCAATCTAACATATATTCTAAGGACAAAAAGTACAAAGAAACAAACTGCATTCAACAACCTTAATGTTGTTAATAATATAAGTACTGTTATTCTGAAATTATTTTAGGCCTATTACAGGATAATACAAAAATCTAATTATGTTTAATGTCACTGGAAGCAAGAGTTTCAACACAAGAGAGATATAAGTATATAAACCCTATAATCTTACATTTGAATTAGAATTAACATGAACTCACATATTTCCTATCTCTGTTCGATGAAAACACCTAGAATCAATGACAAACTTTAATAGCAATAGACATCCTTAGAACCTAGCTACACTCCACTCCTTAAATGTCATTCCCCATTAAAAAGAATTAAGGTTCACTATAGCAAGGCCTGATTCTTCCTGCTTTGGGGTAGAAATTCATAAGATAAGCTTGAAAAAAACTGCC